ATCTAATTTGGGGTTTAATTTTTGATTTACTATTATTTGCATAATCCGAGTCAACACGAATGAAACACGTATACACTCAATAATTAGCGTGGTTACCAACTAATTACTGTTGTCAAAGAAAAAATTAACCACTGATGGCTTTCGATGAGGTGTTTATCTTTGTGAATTTCCAATGAGTTTTACCTCATCCAATTCGTAGTAAATTTTGTTGTTTGTGTGGTTGTGATCGTTAATTTAGGATAATGCACTTTAGCTAATATAGAAGAAATTCTAATAAGTTGTTCTTATTAAATACCGTGAAGGAGTTCATATTACATGATATGACAAGTATCAAGCGATACGTATTTAAGATGTGACAAGCGTCAAACGATACATATTTAAGATGTTTGTATGTTTAATGGTACATATTTGGTTGAGTCTTGATTTTAAAACCTAAATGTTGAAGCTCTTGTATTTATAAATAGTCACAATATAGATTTAGTTACGTCTATAGACAAATAAATACTTAAGGTAGATTTAGTTATATGTATACTAAAATATTTTAGAGTGACACGGGGAATAGAAAAAATTTGAATATCTAATCTCATTTTGAGATATTTAAAAAATTAAAATGGTAGCGATTTTGACATTTTCACTTTAATTTTGACAACAAACATTGTGATTGTACAAATTATAAAATACTCAATTTAGAATGTATAAAGTTATTTAAAACAAATGAAGTTAAACCATGAGTGCTAACTTTACATCCTAATCAACATGATCAAGACATCAAAGTATTTTTATTAATTCGTGTATAAACCACCCCAATTTCAAAAAAAGTTTTGCTCACGAATAGTGTCCTAAAGTTTGACTAACTCATCATTTTAATCCTTTCAATTTCATATCAACTAAAGTTTTCCATAATGTCTTTCCAGAAACAAACTTAATATGCTAGTGGAATCCACATTTTAATGATATACCCAATTCCTAAAGTTACATTGACATTTACGGTGGGTAATGCTAGGGAGGTCAAATTTTCAAATCAAATTTTGTCAACTCAATGATATGGTTGTTAAAGATTGAATTATTACTTAAGGCCTCATTTGGTAGCTCGGACTGTATTGACTATTTCTGTCGGATAGCATAAATAACCACCGGATAGTACTGATTAAATTTGTCGGGTGTTTGGTGCAGTATCGGACTAAAGACCGTATTATTTATACTGTGTTTAGTATTATACCGGATATGAGAATCAAACTTAAAATAAAATTGAAAAAAAAAAAAATGAAATCATTTCTTTTGTTTCCCAGATCTCTCCGCCACACCCCCCGAATCCCTCCCTCTCTCTCCCTTCTTCTTCTTCGTCTGCTCCCCTGAACCAAACCCCACCACAAGGGTAGCAACAAGAAACCTAGCAAAACGACGACACTGAAGCAGAAATTCCATGCTTTAGAGGGATATCAGTGCAGCTAAAAACCCATATGAAATAAAAACCCCAATTTTGAGTTTCTAATCTCTTGAAATCAAAGATCCAGATGAAATCTCACCCGGTTTGAGCTTATCCACCCCATATGAACAAAATCAGGGAACAATTAAGCTAAAAACTCAAAAAATGTCTCCAGAATAGGACCGGCGGGACTTGGGTTTGATCTGCCACCTCTAGATTCCGTTCGAAATCTTCTTGATGCTGATTGGAAGTGGGGATGGAGAAAGAGGGAGAGAAATGAGTTCGCGATCTATAGAGCAGATGGCGAATGGTTGGAGAAGAGCGAGCGTGCTTTCGTTTTAGGCGTGAACAGTGAACCCAACTAAATAATACCAAGGTAGCAGGTGTATGGGGTATTAAATAGGCGGGGCCAGACTAATAATCTGATGCTTATTTAGTACGAGACTTACCAAGCACCTGTTTCGTATTATATAGTACTATCCGATGTGCCAAACGAGGCCTAAGTGTTGGCTAACGTTCTTCTTTCCTATTAATGACACATTATTTGATTTATAAAATTTGGTTTAAAAATTTAGTTTAGAAAATTTGGTTTACAAAATTAGTCTCTTTAACATTACTCTTAAAAATTTAGTCTATCTAACATTACCCTTTTATGGTTGGTTGTTGTTTTATTTTGGATCAAACATTTTGTGGTTGATTGAGAAAAGAGAGAAATTATTGGAAACTATTTGGCCACCACCGTCATTATCCTCAACTAATTAGAGGCCATATAAAGAAAAAGTTGGTAAAACTGAAAGAGATCCAACCAAAATGATTGTCTTTAGATTAAAAAGAACTCTTGCAAAGTCATAGTTTATATATTAATGGACCAACCATATCGGAAAAAAAAAGATGTAGGCCTATGCCTTTCTCTTCTATCATATTCTTTTTATCAAAGATTTTTAACTGAAATTTTATTAATTTAACGTCATTACAAGCTCATCCATAGACAGAGCCAAAAACATTTTTTCAGTGGAGGCAACTTCGAGTGATGAAATTAAATCAAGATTTGATATAAGTCGTTTACTTATTGTCCAACAACATCATTTTGAGTAACTAGTGCTTAGAATAGTAAACTTGCAAACCATTAATTAGTTAATGGAAAAATTATATGTCTCAGAAGAGTGAGTGGGTAAGAAAAGTATAAAACGTGAGAGGGTATTTTGAGTTGAATGTTTGGACTCATACTTCATTTCTGAATATATATATATATATATATATATATATATATAAAAGTATTTTATAGTTTTAGTTGGGGCATTTTTTGTGCAAAAAAAGTTGAGTGAGGACAGCTGCTCCCAGTGAGCATATGAAGCCTCCTCCGTTCATAAGCTCATCTATACTATTATTAAGAGAAGAGGACTTACCATTAGAGTTCCGGTGCGGTTCGTCAATGTATCGGGGGCCAACTACTTGTAGATAATTGATGAACAACAATTACGTGATAATGATAAAGGTATGTTTACTTACCATGAACAACAGTTCGTGGGGTTGTGATGATTAAATTAGGATAACGCAATTTAGTTTTACTAATACATTGTGAAATCATGCAAATGTGTTTTCCAGTCTTTTGTTGAAAAATATTTAAAAAAAATACATGCAATCACAAAAAAAAAAATAAAAAAAAATAAAAAAAAGGGTACAATACTAATAACTTGATTATGAGATGCACAATACTCACTCATTCGTATCGAAATACAAATATCTCGTAAATCTGGTCATACACTCAAAGTTTCTTAGACTGAGCTGCACAAATGGATCAATGATGCCATTATCATTATGTTCTTATAAACTCTCTGACAATTTATGTTTTTTAAACAATGTTTATACTATTGACACGTGAATTGATGATAAACTATGAGGTGACAAAAGAGTCCCCAAATCTTTCTACAAAATTAAAAAGTTTTTAAGCCCTTCTAGGTAATTGTTCTAAATCCAAAAGGTGAAACCCATACTAATTAGAAAAAAAAATATTTATAAGGAAAAAAAAGAAAAGAGATTTGAGTTCAATTATCTCCAATGCACATGCCCAAATTGTTAAAATTCAATTTAAGTTTTAAGTCTGATGTTTTCTCCACCAATTCAAAGACTCAAATCTTAAAACTCAAAATGAGTCGTAAGATTTTGAGCCTTTGCATTGGAGAAGGAAACCAAAATACATAAATTGAGACACAAATATGAAAATATAGGTCCTAGAATTTGAGTCTTTGCAGTGGAGATACTCTGGTTGCTTGCGTAAGACCGTTAAGAGTTAAAACATTGATTGAATGGAAAATCCTATCGAGACCAAGATGAGTCTATATTTTTCATATCTTATTATTATTGGAGAACGAGAAAATAAAATAGTTTTTGAGACTAGGAAAGAGTTGTTTTATTCGCTCTCAGATATTATTAAATACATCTCACACAAAGAATTTAGGGAAATAACCAGAAAGATGACATTTTCTTAATCTTGAGACAAAAATAGGATAAATCGGCCATGCACACCATACACAAAATCGAAATTACTAAAATACTCACGTATAAATACTAAAAATCATCAGCCCATTGCATTACTTTTTCTCATTTGGAAGGGAAGGATGTGGAGAGATCTCTGTAAGTTTTGCGTTTCTGGGTTGAGCTCAAATTTTGAAGAGGGAAGTTCAAAGAGAGGTGAGGAGAGTGAGCTGGGTTTTGGGTTAACCTCATACCTTTGATTTCGAACAAAGGAATGTGAGAGAGAGGTGAGAGGAGTGAGCTGAGCTTTGTACCATATTTTTTCTTTTGGCCGAAAAGTTCTATTTTTTCGATTTTGTACCATATTTTCTGAGAGGAGTGGGCTACGTCAAGTTCTATATTTCAGAAGCTTCTACAAGGTATTCGATTGCGTAAAAAAGAAAAAAAAAAGGAAAAAAAAAGGGAGAAAAAATGATGAATGAGCTAGAGATATGAGAACCTCCCACACCCATCCGAACCAAGATCGCCGCTCATATCTCTCTCTCATCTATTATCGTCGAATTTGGAAGCCAAAAATGAATGGCGCCACCGTGGGAAAAAAATTAAGTAGGTTATCAGTGGTGGGGGTGTGGGGTTTGCATCAAAGGAGAGGAGAAAAGGGTTGGGATCCCTGAGATTGGGTTTAAGGCGACGGGTTGGGGAAGGACCCATCAGGGAGGGGGGCAATGATCTGATGAGGTTTCTGGTTCTTTATTCTTTGTTCCCAGGATCCCCCTGAATCCCACCATGAGTCCATGACCATTCCGGAGAAGGTCCTGATGGGGAGGACAAAGTCCACATCCGCCACTCCGGAGTCCAAGAGGGCAGCGCCGGTGCCCATGTATGTACCTATCAACTTATCACTACTACTTGTTTTGGCTCCCTCTGTTAATTTATATCTTTTAAGTTTTAATACCCACTACTAACTTGGTCCCATGACTCACAAATGTAATATATGCTTGTAACTAGATCTCATACAGTTTCTTCTTCATCAATCTAATCTAGATATCTGATACGCATCTAGAAATTGCAGGTGATTGTGTGGAGGAAGACAAGCTTGTTGCCAATATATTTTAACTATATTGATTAAGTAGTTAGAAGAAGTCATGCATTACAATTTAGGTCAGGTCATTTGGTTGGTTAGACTCCTAGAATTGGACTTGGAGGAAAGTCAGGAAGACAAAAGTCAGCATCAGCACTCACTACACAGCACCTTACTCAGCATCTCACTCAGGTAAAATATGTCAATGGTGGAACAAGCGAAGGAATCTAGATATATATGCCATGGTTACATACTCCAGGACCCACTCCCAGCCCCAGGATGCTCCGGCCAGTACCTCTCCAGTCCACCCAAGAGGAAACATATCAGGAGCCGTGTATATGCACCCGTACTCACGAGTCCAAGGCAGCTCAGCTCTAACATCCGAAACACCTCGCTCCAACTCTACAACAGAACTCGCCATAAAGACCGATCCAATATGCAACCAGGTGCTATCCTCTCTGATTTCAACCACATTTAGCTCTTCTAATCTCATCACCTCCTCCTGCAATAAGCTTAAGCGTTTAAAACATATTCACAACAAACCAACTACACAAATCAAACAAATATAACACAAGATAAATACTTACATCATACTGATCACCAACGTACACCGCTCTCAGCATGTCCACAAACCGCTTTCATTGCAATCCCATGGCCTCGTCCATCTCGTAATAGGTACCAACGTGGTTAGAGAAGAAGAATGAGTGGCCATTTGGCCCACCATACCGTGCGAGTCCCAACCTCGGCAGAACATGCTGGACCAACTCCTGAACGCTCCCGTGCTCCTCCAAGTGGTCAATGCTCCTCATAAAGTGCCTGTGTCCATCGAATGTCTATCGAAACAACAGAACCTCAGTGTCTTGTACAATAATTTTATTATCAACTATTGTTTTTTCTAATAATTTAGGGCAAAAATTTATGAACATTTATTTTCACCACATTTTGGCCAACAATTCTTGATGTTTTTTCATTAATCCGATGATTAAAGGAAAAACATGTCCAAATAAAAAATATAATTCAAAAAATCATTTCTCTTGATCATTTCACTTCAAAGTTAATAGAAATGCAATAGACATTTGGAAATTAGAGAACAATTATCTCATCTCGTCGTCCTCACTATCACCTTGCCCATCCTCATCGGCCACATCATCAATCTCGTCATCTCTATTGTCATCAGACTCATCATCTCTGTCGTCACCAGTCCCGTCATCCCCTTCGTCACCAGACCCGTCATCCCAACCTCGGCAGAATGTGCTGAACCAACTCTTGAACGCTCCCGTGCTCGTCCAAGTGGTCAATGCTCCCCATAAAGTGTTCGTGTCCATCGACTGTCAATTGAAACAGAAAAACCTCAGTGTCCTGTACAAAAATTTTATTATCAACTATTGTTTTTCTAATAATTAAGGGGGCAAATTTATGCACATTTCTTTTCAACACATTTTGGCCAGCAATTTTATTGATTTTTTTTTTCATTAATTCGATGATTAAAGGAAAAACATGTCCAAATTAAAATATAATTCCAAAAATCATTTTTATTAATCACTTCACTTCAAGGTTAATAGAAATGTAATAGACACTTTGACTTTAAAGAATAGGTATCTCACCTCATCGTCTTCACTATCATCCTGCCTATCCTCATCAACCACATCATTAATCTGGTCATCTCCATCGTCACTAAACTCGTCATCCTCCTCGTCACCAGACCCTTCATCTCCGTCATCACTGTACCCGTCATCCCAACCTCGGCAGAACGTGCTGGACCAACTCTTAAACGCTCCCGTGCTCCTCTAAGTGGTCAATGCTTCCCATAAAGTGCTCATGTCCATCGAATGTTAATTGAAACAGAAGAACCTCAATATCCTATACAATAATTTTGGCCAGCAATTTTTGATATTTTTTCATTAATCCAGTGATTAAAGGAAAAACATGTCTAAATAAAAAATATAAATAAAAAAATCATTTCTCTTGATCACTTCACTTCAAAGTTAATAGAAATGAAATAGACACTTGGAAATTAGAGGACAATTAACTCACCTCGTTGTCTTCACTATTACCTTGCCCATCCTCATCGGCTGCATCATCAATCTCGTCATCTCCGTCGTCATCAGACTCGTCATCTCCATCGTCACCAGACCCGTCATCCCCCTCGTCACCGGATCCGTCATCTCCGTCGTCACCGGACCCGTCATCGCAACCTTGGCAAAACATGCTGGACCAACTCCTGAACGCTCCCGTGCTCCTCCTAGTGGTCAATGCTCCCCATAAATTTCTCTCGTCATCTCCGTCGTCACCGGACCCGTCATCTCCGTCGTCACCGGACCCGTCATCGCAACCTTGGCAAAACATGCTGGACCAACTCCTGAACGCTCCCGTGCTCCTCCTAGTGGTCAATGCTCTCCATAAATTTCTCGTGTCCATCAAATGTCAATCGAAACAGTAGAACCTCAGTGTCTTGTACAATAATTTTATTATCAACTATTGTTTTTCTAATAATTCAAGGCATAAATTTATGCACATTTCTTTTCACCACATTTTGGTTAGAAATTTTCCTGATTTTTTTTCATTAATCCATTGGTTAAAGGAAAAACATGTCCAAATAAAAAATATAAATAAAAGAAAATCATTTTTCTTGATCATTTCACTTCAAAGTTAATAGAAATGCAATAGACATTTTGAAATTAGAGAACAATTATTTCATCTCGCCGTCCTCACTATCACCCTGTCCATCCTCATCGGCTACATCATCAATCTTTTCATCTTCGTCATCATCAGACTTGTCATCTCCATCGTCACTAGACCTGTCATCCCCCTTGTCACCAAACCCGTCATCTCCGTCGTCACCGGACCCGTCATCCCAACCTTGGCAAAGAGTGCTGGACCAACTCTTGAACGCTCTCGTGGTCTTCCAAGTGGTCAATGCTCCCCATAAAGTGTTCGGGTCCATCGAATGTCAATCAAAACAGCAGAGCCTCAGTGTCATGTATAATAATTTTATTATCAACTATTGTTTTTCTAATAATTCAGGGGGAAAATTTATGCACATTTCTTTTTAACACATTTTGGCCAGCAATTTTCTTGATTTTTTTCTTCATTAATCCGATGATTAAAGGAAAAACATGTCCAAATAAAAAATATAAATAAAAAAAAATCATTTTTCTTGATCACTTCACTTCAAAGTTAATAGAAAAGCAATAAACACTTGGAAATTAGAGAACAATTATCTTACCTCGTTGCTCTCACTATCACCTTGCTCATCCTCATTTGCCACATCATCAATCTCATCATCTCCATTGTCATCTCCGTCGTCATCCCCTTAGTCACCAGACACGCCATCTCTGTCATCACCGGACCTGTCATCCTAACCTTGGCAGAAAGTGCTGGACCAATTCCTGAACGCTCCTGTGCTCCTCCAAGTGGTCAATGCTTCCCATAAAGTGCTCGTGTCGTTCGAATGTCAATCGAAACAGAAGAACCTCAATGTCCTGTACAATAATTTTATTATCAACTATTGTTTTTCTAATAATTTAGGCCAAAAATTTATGCACATTTCTTTTCACCACATTTTGGCTAGCAATTCTTGATGTTTTTTCATTAATTCGGATGACTAAAGGAAAAACATGTCCAAATAAAAAAATTTGAATAAAAAAATCATTTTTCTTGATCACTTCACTTCAAAGTTAATAAAAATGCATTAGACACTTAGAAATTAGAAAACAATTATCTCACCTTGTCTTCACTATCACCCTGCCCATCCTCATTGGCCACATCATCAATCTCATCATCTCCATCGTCATTAGATTCATCATCTCTGTCATCACTGGACCCGTCATGCTCCTCGTCACTAGACCCGTCATCTTCGTCGTCACCGGACCCGTCATCCCAACCTCGGCAGAACATGCTAGACGAAATCCTGAATGCTCTCGTGCTCCTCCAAGTGGTCAATGCTCCCCATAAAGTGCTCGTGTCCATCAAATGTCAATCAAAACAGTAGAATCTCAGTGTCCTATACAATACTTTTATTATCAACTATTGTTTTTCTAATAATTCAGGGCAAAAATTTATGCACATTTCTTCTCACCACATTTTGGCTAGCAATTCTTAATTTTTTTTTTCATTAATCCGATGATTAAAGGAAATACATGTCCAAATAAAAAATATAATTCAAAACATTATTTTTCTTGATCATTTTACTTCAAAGTTAATAGAAATGCAATAGACACTTGGAAATAAGAGAACAATTGTCTCACCTCGTCGTCCTCATTATGACCCTGCCCATCCTCATCGGCCACATCATCAATCTCATCATCTCCATCGTCATCAGACCCGTCATCACCTTTGTCACCAGACCCGTCATCTCCATCGTCACCAGACCTGTCATCCCTTTCGTCAATATCCCAATTCCCGTCATCCTCCATGTCATCGTCTCCAAAGCTATAACTATCATTGTCATCCATATCGTCATCATCTTCACCGTCACCATTCACGTCTGTATCCTCTTGGAGAAGTTTTATATCAGTTTAAAAAACCATAGAAAATTATACATTATAGTAATAATAATTAATTTGTACTTTTTGACAAAAATAAATAAATAAATAAATAAAAACAGAACAAAGTAAAAGCTAAATGTATCATGCCAATTGTTGGTTCAAGTCCACACCTATAGGTGAGTGAGTGCAGCAGAGACCCATCAATCTAAATGTATCATGTCAATTGTTGGTTCAAGTCCACACCTTAAGGTAAGCTAATTCCCAATAGCTTGCCTATTCTAACCAATAAGAGATAACACAATCAACCACAACATTAGCACAATATGGGTGTGGTGTGTGTACATAAACTCTCAAAGAAGAAAGATGATATGGAAAAGTTCTTCATCTTGCACTGTCCATATATTTCAGTTATTGCTTTACCACCTGAGCAATTCTTTAAAAACCTATACTGTTTTTGTACGGCGAGTAAGAAGTATTTATAAGCATAACTTGACAATTTGAGTGAGATATCAACAATGAATCAATGTATTACCAGCTAAGAATCCAATTTTCTGTCACTTTTCAGGCTTCAAGATTGTTCAAGTGAATGTCACGTATTTACCCCCCATTTTCAATTTTATTGAAGTCCAATTACACTGAAGTTTGCCAAACTATTTTAGAAACAAGATCATGACAAAAAGCAAGCATACGTTACATTTCATCTTAGTGAAGCATGCACACAAGTGGTTAATGAACCATTGGAAGCGATTAACAAACCAAATGGAATGAAGAACTAGTGGTATTGCTGTCTTGTGAAGTGGGGAACCAAGCCTAAACAAAACGTTGTTTAAAGCCATTTTTATTAACAAGTCTAAAAGAGACAAGTAGTAAACGATGCACACAGAGAGATACAACAAACTGATAAGGTACCATGAATGAAACAAGTCCAAATCTCCAACTGTATCAACAATTTTGTTAAAATAGTAGGTATTAGTCGTAAACTGAAAAATTCATTCGGGAAGAGGACAGTGCCAGGAAACTAGTTTCCAATGTCAAAAATAGAGGAACCATCAACGCTTTGTCCTGTTAAAATCAGCAACGAAATGTTAATAAGAGATTCTTTGACTAATGACTATGTAAAAAAAAGGATAAGGGTACCAACTACCAAGTATACCACATAGACAGCTGCAAACAATTCATCACCGACACCAACACTACGAAAAGTGCTCAGAGTAGACACTTGAGGGTGTTTGGCAGAAGCTACATTCTCCACTAGCACCGGAAGAGTTCCAATGCTACCAATCTCATACACATCTTGAAGTGGTAGACAGAGGGGCTTGTCTGAGGGACTCTTGGGCTCAATGATCAAGTCAGGGGGAGCCTGAAGAAGTACAATGTAGCAATCAATGCTGGTGGACCTATCAATCTCAAACCTAGAGATAGGAACAAAGGCGATTTTCTTCATGTAGGTTGAGAATTCCTTTACAATTCTTTCGTACCTTGCATCCATCCACAAACAAAAAATTAAATTCCATAAATCAAGACGAAGAAAAACAACTTTACAAACAGATTACAGAAATGATCGATTCACAATCACCAAGAATATAGAAATTAGGAAATTCAAACCTCGTTCTTTTGAGTAGGATGAGACTTCCTTCATAATTCCATTGTATCTGGTTGAGAATTCCATGGTCGCCGCAGTTTTCTCATTCTCCTGCTCTTGCTCTTGCTCCTTCTCCAGAGACCCTCTTGACTTTCTGCTTCCTCTTTCTTTCGTTCTGCGTCACCTCCCCCTTTTAAAAAACTCTAGACCTCCCAAACCTCCTCCTACAAATTAGGGAAGGGGGATTACGTCGCAAACCCATATCACAAATAGTAGCTAATCAAACTTCAAACAGATTATTAGGGGGTTTAAACACATTTTTAAGTTTATATACTGAAATTACTATTACACCCTTAATGCCGTCTCACTCGATCACCTCATTAGGAAGGGTCTTTATTGTCATTTACCTTGCTGTAAACTGCGAAATGACAATGTAGGCTTGCTCCGCGTTGGGAAATGGAAATAGAGAGAAGAAGATTGATCTTGTTCGGTTGTTCCACTAGCGTTGCCTTCCTCAGCAAGCAAACAACAATTACCTCCCCTTTTTGGTTGAGATTTTGTTTTCTCATTCCCATTTTTCAGACTAAAGTGTTTTCGAAAGGGCGTACAACAGAGGCAATTAGACCGCCTAATTAATGCCTAAACGTTTGAAAATTAAGAAAAGGCGCCTTATTAAACTTATTGAGTCGGTCAATTAGACCGCCTAGGTCGCAACTTACTTAGATAGAAATAGATAGCTTTCATTTTGCATTTTATTTTTTTCAATAAATTGTAAGAGACTTGTTGAATATTTAAATGAACACACATTATATGTTTGTTCCCTTGTTTTCATTATATTCCAATACTTCATAATACATATGTCATTTTATTTTGTAGTTTATGATGAAATTATATATATTTTAAATATAAGAAAACACTTCTTTACATGAAATACAATATATTTACTTAAATCTGCCTAGTCCGCCTAGGCGTTAAGCCCCAACTCGCTGCTCAACTAGTGCCTAGCGTCTTTTAAAACATTGTCTATAAATAAGACTAAGGTCATCTCTAATCGAAGGAAGGCCAAATGGCTCATTTTAGCCCTATAGCCCTTCAAGAAATTAATATTTTAATGAACAGTGCCAGATCATATTTCTTAAACATCTCTAACCGAGGGACTAAATGGCCATAGGCCAAACATGGTCATGTGACAAAAAATCATCTCCAACCAAAAGGGCCAAAGGGTCATAGGCCAAATATAATTTATTATTTTAATTGAATTAATATGGTTACCTAAATTAAACTATCTCTATAATTTTACGTCTTGGATTTCGAGTGCCATGTGTCGATATGTAAGTAAATTTGCAGATTTCTTGTTGATAAGGAATCTCAATAATTTTATGTCTCGGATTTCGAGTGCCATATGTCGATATGTGAGTAACTTTGCAGATTTCTTGTTGATAAGGAATCTTAATAATTTTACGTCTCGAATTTCGAGTGCCACATGTCGATATGCGAGTAACTCTCTAGATTTCTTGTCGATATGTAATCTCAATAATTTTTCAGATAGGATTTCAAGTGGCACGTGTCGAGATGTAATTGGTTGTGGGAATTTGAGATAAGATTTTTATCTGCGTGACACTTCTTATCTTCAGCTTCCAATGTTCATAAATAGGATAGATATTGGGCTATATTCACACACTTTCAGCTTTGCCCTATCTAATATCTCTTTCAATTCAAGTTTGCAATGAATTCCAACTTTGGATCCTTTTCGGATTCCAACTGGGGTCCTCATCCAATTCTGAATTGGAAGAAAAATGGGCGCATATGAGACGACAAGATGATGAGTTTGATGAAGAAGATGAAGTATGGCACAACACATCATATATGGCAGCTATGGCGGGGGTCATAGCGTGTGAGCCAACTAAGGAACAACCTTAATGGGGTGGCTCTGTTGCTGGTCACTCTTATAAACCACAAAACAAAGAGATGACGCACGACAATCTGATGAACAACTACTGCAACCCCAACTCGGTGTACATAGAAGAGGATTTCAGACGTCACTTCCAAATGAGGCGTCATATCTTCGAGCGTTTACTTCACGATGTCCAACATATCAATCTATACTTTCTACAGAAGCTGGACAAAGCAGGTTGCTCTGGTTTCTCACCTCATCAGAAGGTTACTCCTGCACTCCAAATGCTGGCCTATGCCTTTCCAGCTGATGCGATGAATGATACATATGGTATGTCTGAGTCTACATGCCTTGATAATCTTGCTTAATTCTGTCGCACAGCTGTTCTTTACAAAGAGGAGTACCTTCGTGAACCAAATCAAGAAGATTTGGATCGGTTTCTTCATAAAGCTAAAGACCGTGACTTTCCGGGCATGATAGGGTCATTAGATTGCATGCATTGGCAGTGGAAGAACAATCCCATCGGATAGCAAGGAGGCTTTAGCGGAAGATCGAGAAAGCCAATTATTGTGTTAGAGGCAGTTGCCTTGTTTAACACATGGATTTGACATGCTTTTTTTGAAGTCCTAGAATCCCAAAACGACATTACAGTTCTTGGACGTTCACCCCTCTTCAATAACCTGACGGAGGGTAAATCACCTTAACTTGACTACTACATCAACGACCGTCAGTACAATATGGGGTATTACTTGGCATATGACATCTACCCAAAGTGGGCAACACTTGTCCAAGCAATTCCAAGCCATGTGGATGACGCCCAAATGTGGTTTACCTTACACCAAGAGGCATACAAGAAAGATGTTAAGAGAGCTTTCGGTATTTTACAGGTACAGTGGAAGATCATCAAGGAACTGGCAAGAAGGTGGAGTCGAGATAAATTGAACTCCATCATGATGTCGTGCATCATATTACATAACATGATTGTGGAGGATGAGCGCGATGGCTATATTGATGGAGAATCTGATGACGACCAAGATGATCCAAATAGGTTAAGGAGAGCTCGTGCAAAAATATATAATGGGTCTAATTTGCCTTTAGCTGGCGTCATGCTGACGCTAGGTAGGCTTTGGGCTTGAATTGTGGACCGGCAGGGCTGGTTGGCTGGTTCAGGCCAACCGGTTGGCCCATTGTGCAATTATAGCTTGGTCGGGCTACGAACCCTTCTGCATAGCCTTCGATTGGAGATGATTTTCATATTATTTCGATCTATTTTAGATCATCTGGCCAGATTGGCTGGAGATGGCACAACCTTTGTTTTGGCAAAAGCGAAGAGAGAGAGAGGGGGAGAGAGAGAGTAGATTTGGCGGAATCGGAAGGTACTTCCCCCTATTAAACCCTAAAACTTATCAATCCGATTTCTGCATATGACCTTCATTCTGCAATAATTCGCTCTCTGAATGCAATCAAAGAGGGCCAAAACCCAAATTGAGATTCCAATTTGGGTAAGGATTGATTGATTGATTTGGCCCTCCTTTGTTTTCCCATCTCTCGGTCAATCAATCCTTACCCTAAATTTTTATGTTTGATGTTGTCAGTTAATTTCTGGTTTGAAAATTCGGCATGCGGTTTTGATTTTTGTTGTTTGAAAATTGGCAGAGGACAGTCGAATTGGGAGTTTCTCCATGGCCAACAGCTCCCCCAGTAACGAATTTCCCCAGGGTTTGTATTTATTTCCTTCTCTCTCTCTCTCTCTCTCTCTTTTTTTGGGTGCGCTAATTATATACTTTATGCAGTTCCCAATTTGCCTATTTTAGTATTTGGTCTGTGAAGATTAGGTCGAAATTTCGTAGATTATGGTTTATTTTGGAAAAAATTATTTGTTTTCTAATATGTTTTGTTTCAAATCTGTCACGTTTTCAAAGTGGCGCAAGCAGAAGAGAACAATGTCCCTCGGAAACAAGTGATCATTTCACTCGATGAGATAGTTGTGATGGAATCTCCAAGGAGGGTTGACGTTCCCGTCAATATAGCGAAGAAGTTTGTTCTTCAGCTTTAAAATCTTGGTTTGTAAACTTTGTATTGCTACAAACCAGTTCATTTATGCTTTTGATATCTTTTCAGAAATTCATAACAAGGAAGAGGAAAAGACAAGTGTATCGTAAGTTCACAAAACCCATTACAGTTTTAGACCCTTGGAATAACGGGCTGGTAAGAACTTCACCGACTCATATATGTTTATGTCCTACGCTTTCTGTGGATACATGTACTCTGTACTAATTTGAGCTTCCGTGCATTTGCTCGTGGACAAGGTTGTGAGGACTGACCTTAACACTAAGAATGGGATGTGGTTAGTTGTCAACTCCCTTGTGCTTTATTTATCTTGATTTTTATTTGCTACAGTGGAATCCGATTGTTTTTTGTCTGTTTTATGCTTATGATATTGGTTCACAAAATTTCTCGAGCGCGCCCAAAACCAGCCCCATCATATAGATGCCTGGCATTTGAGGAAGACCTGCGCAATTTTAATACCTGCAAGAATTTAACCGCATTCAGTGGATGGATGTACTCTGTTGTAATTTGAGCCTGCATGTAGGTGGCTGTCCAGAAGGATGCTAGGAGTGATATTCCTGAAATTGACAGGAAGAAGTGAGTTTTGAATTCCCTTGTGATCTAGTTATCTTGAATTGTATTGCTGCAATAGAATAGGACTGTTTCCATTCCCTTTATGCTTTTGACATATTTCATGATATGGGTCAGGGAAAAAATAGGAAATGAAAAGCTAGAATTTTGTTGAAATTATTCCCAATACCTGTTATGTTATTATTGTGAGAGTTGTGCAGTTTTAAATCTACATGCAAAGACTATATGCCCCCAATACGAAGTACGGTTATGAATTGATTGCTAAGAGTTTAATGAGCGGTTAGGAATACTCTTGATTAACAGTGTTTGCAAGAATTGATTACCAAATTAGCGATAGCTTCCTACTATGTAATTTTCATTCCATATCAGTCCATAGAATTTTCATACTGAAAGGAAAATGTATCGATTGCTGCATAGGTAAATTGAAAGTTCATGTGTGTTCGTAGCTTGTCTCAAATGGAAGGGGCTCTTACATAGCAGCATTGTTTATCTTGGTTTTGACTGCAGATACCATGTCCCTGGTCAAATGACTCTTAGAGAATTTGTCTTATTCATTCGGGTTAGCATCAGGATAAGCAAAAAAAGGCCAATATTTGTCTCTTTCAAGAACACTAAACCTCCCGTTGGTGAGTGGCAGCTCATTTTTTCTTTTATGCATCCTATGTTGTTCCAAGAGTTCCAAAAGTTAAGGTTGTAATAATTTATGCACTGTTACAGGGGCTTTGTTTTATGAAATTGATGAGCCAAATAAGGGTGAAGATGGATTTATGCACGTTACCTACAGTGGGGAAGAGAATGTTTGTGGATCAAATGAAGAGCAAGAACATGGGGATAAAATCTCTTTCGAGAATGAAAATTCTCAGGGTACGTTTTTCTCTCGGTTTCTAGGGGTTAATTATACAGTATGTTCTCCTCCACTAAATATACAAATAGGCATGTGCCTGCTTTTGTATTTGTGTATATGATGTCCTGCCTTCAGTTTCCTCCTTTTGATTGATTTTGACCCTATTTGACACTCGTCTGGTGTGTTAGGCTTTTGTGAAATACTTGAACCTACAATTTTTGTGTGTTTCTTTTCCTTTCTTAAGTTTGAAGATTCATAGATGCAGAGTTGATATTGATTACGGTTTATGTTGGGAAATTTGTGATATGGTTTTTGGACAAATGTTTTCGAAATGGCACAAGCAGAAGCTGCGAACAAGGGCGAGAATGGCTTGAGTAATTCATCTGGAGTTAGAGTAACTGTGTTTGTGTTTAACTCTAAACTCTATATACGACCCTAGCTTTTCCAGTATATTAAAATTTCACTTTTGACGGTAAATCCCGTGCGTTGGCGAAGCCTAACGTTCTTCACCTCTTCCGATATATGCGTTGCCATTGGCAACAAGAAATCGATGGGAGGCAAAGTACATACTCTTCATATTCCCCCACACCCTTCATTTCTTTCCTTTTCCTGATCTCATTATAAAAGCAAAATGAAAACCTCTTCATGTTTCTTCTTTTTTTTAGGCGACTTTAGAAATCTATTGTTGGGTTAAATTTGATGGTTCATGTTCATCGACTTTGCTTTGGGTGCGCTGTCAAGTAAATCTGATTCCAAAGACAACCTTGCAGATCTCTTTACCAAGTTTATGTCGAAGTCTAGATTCTAGAAGCCTGTTCAAGGTATTGGATTGCGTAAATTATCGAAAATGAAACGTTTGCAGGTAAGTTATGTCCAAATTGGGGAAGTATCCAAAGCATACCCACTTTACCATTATGTATTATATTTCTCTTCGATTATGAACATTTTTCGAATCGAGTTTTGTTACTTGGCACTGAGATGCAATTCCTTTTTTTTTTTGGTTGGATGAGATGGTTTATCACTTAACCCTACCGCAGCCGACTCATTTTCTGAGCTTTACAGTGGACGAAAATGGTGCAACACAAATTTAGGGTTCATGTAAACATCTCTGTAATCGAAACATCTTGGCATTACAAATTGCAAATTACAACTTTAGGGTTCATCTTCTCAGCTTTTGTTAAATGTGCAGACATTGATGTGCATCACAACATCACAAAAGAAATATTGGGCGAGATAATCAAGAATTTTAGTATGTAGCTAAGTTTATTATCAAGTATCAACTAACGCAACATGGTTGTTTTTTTCTTTGGTTTTTGATAAAGCTCATATTCCGTTCGTCAGACTTTGTTCTTGTAGGTCCTCAAATCTCAACTTAATCCCAAAGGAACTGGGACAAAGAAAAAGAGATATTATACTGTGTATGTAATTAGAGCATTCGATATACAAACATGTTTATCTTTTGTAAGGCCAGGCATAAGCTAGCTAATTAGAAGTAGGGTTGGTTTGGTATTGCTGTGCTTTGAAAAAAAGTTGCTTCTGCTGTGCTGTGAGAATAAGCAGCTGTGAAATAAAACAATAGAGTGTTTGGTAAACTTTTTTGTAAAAGCTTTTGAAAAAAAAAAAAAAAAGCAGTATTAGAGTGTTTGGTAAACTTTTATGTAAAACAGATGTGAAAAAAAACCGGTTTTTCAAAGTTGGGTTTTGCTGCTTCTTGTTTTTGGCTTTTTTTCATCCAAAACTGTGAAAAAAAGCGGAAGCTTAGTGTTTACCAAACACAAAAACAGCTTCCAGCTTTTTTTGATAGCAGTTTTTTTCAGAATCACCTCAGTACCAAACCAGGTCGTAGAAAAATGCTATTTAACAAAGAAAAATGAGATTTGAGTTTTCAATATGGCACCAATCAGAAGTCAACAATCCACACATCCAACACCAGAAGAAAAAATTCCGCTAAAGCAGAATATAATTTATGTAAAATCTTGTGCAAGGAAGATTGACAATATTGATGACAACAAGAAGAGAAGCCTATGTTTGTCTCTTCCGAGAACACTGAATCTTCCACGGGTGAGTTACCTAGGGTAGATAGGTGTTAATTGTTTTGTAAGTACAAATTCGTTAAAACTGAAAGGCGGCAAATTTTTTCTACCACACATTACATTTTATTACAAATTTCTTAATACTTCTAACAAGACATTGCGACTGAAAGCATTTTTAAACATAAACATGAGTAACACAAGTATTTTATGAATGAGCACTTCCAAAAATCTTGTCAAAGCACTGAGCAGTGCGTGAACCAAAAGGAAATCGCGTGCTGAGACATTAATCTTTAAAATAAGGTCAATTAGATAAGGCGCAATTTGTATTTAATAAATACATATATAATATGGACCACTAAATCTTAGAAAAAGGATACTCTCCTAATCAGACAATGAACAATTTTATCATTTAGCATAAAAGCAATAGAAGTTTCATTTGAGTTTGAGTTTGGTCGAAAAGTTATCGGTGGGGACGTTTATTATTGTTAAATCAACAAAAGTCTTACTCAATTTCTTTTTGTTTGTAAAGACTCCACAATAATGTAAATATGGCATCAATTGAGGTCATTTTCGAACCATACTAGCTTGTATCCGTGTCAAATATTTGTGAACTTGATTAATCTACCATGTTTAATTAATCATGTAATATAACTCAAAACTAACTTAATACACGTAATCGTATCATGTTTAGGTTTACTTACGTAAACATCTTGTGGATTATAACTTAAGAATACATTTCTTTTATTTCAAAACTAATTTGATCACTCATAAGTTATTTGAAATGATACGTTAGTTCGGTTTGTTTTAACTTGTGCTGGTTTATTTTAATTGTTTGAGATGCCTCCTAATAATATTCAAGACGCTTTTATGGATAAAGATTATAGTTGGGGGTCAGGCCTTATGCCTCCTGTTTTGTTTTTTTTTTTTTTATATAATAATATATTACATTAAGGGATGACGGATTTAAGCTAAGTTAAAAAACAGTCTAGCCATAATGATTTGATATTTAACTTGCAATTTACAAAGTCGAACATAATGCTTACACTTACAAAATACAAAGTAATATTATTACATTGTAATACTAAGTTGTGTCTTTTTCACATCATGAATAAAACTCCATCCTACTGTCAATTTCTGGAAAACAAAAAATTATATATTTAAAGGGGATTTTTGAACTTTAATCCTTCAAGAAGATTAAAATTTAATAAAAACTTGATGTTAGATTGGATATTGATTTTAGTCCCTTAATATGTACTTAATTCAAATTTATATTATATTTTTGTTTTAATATTTAATAGATATCTTATTTAATGTCATTACATTAAATTTTAAATTTATTTACACATTTTAATTCATTAATTTTATTTAACTTCCTCTAATTAGTGTACCTAAATGTCCGTATCATAATATATTTTACTAATTTAGTGTACCGAAATGTCCGTATCTAAATATATTGTAGTGAATTAGTGGCAAGAAAAATATGCAAAAATATAAGTGTACCGAAAATTCCGTACCTAATTATATGATACTAAACTAGTGTACTAAAATGTCGATACCTAAATATATTTGTTGACCCTAAAAACTACCAAGCCTATGTGGCGCGAAGGCCGAGTAACTAATAAGCTAACTACATTCTTCGGTTATGTCCAGGGCATGCCAACTCGATGGTCGAGCTCGACTGGGGAGTAAAATGTGTTGATGTTGTGTTGAGCACATTACCAACTTCTTGATCCTGCAATTCCGGCCAAGGAAGGAACACGTCTTGGCCTTTAGGTTCTAGAGCCTGAAGACAAGGCTACTAGTCTTTGCAAAGTTCACAAATCGTCAGCGCCAGGTTCGGTTATGGTGATTATATTCGTAAGAGTATAAGCACGTTAAACTGGTACCAGACTATATGGACACAAATACTCGAAGAAGATGTATGTCTTGATGGTAAATGTGGTTTGGCCGTTGGAATGCCGAACTCTAAAGTGTACTTGTGAATATCCAATCATAAAACAACTCGGCGTTCAATGTGCCGAGCCTAGTAACCTGTAACACCTCACTTCGCCGAGAAGGCTGATGAGATGACCTCTACCAACAAGAACTCGAAAGTCCTTGTTGACTGAGACTTGGATAAATAATCAATCGGTCTCGAAGCAGTGTTGTTTATCCAAACTGAAGGTGCTTCTTGATTAACTGATTCTATGGCTCCAATGTTGTTTATCCAAATTAAAGATGTCGCCGGTTGCCTTCACAATACTGTTTATCCAAACTGAAGATGTGTCGGTGGAAGAAATGGGAGAAGGATAAAATCTCAAAGGTTGTTGAGAAGCTTTGCGTAGGGCAATTTGTGTGTTGAATTGGATGGGCTTTGAATGATGCATTCCCTTCTCTATTTATAGTGGCTAACCTCCTTATGGCTGATCTAGGATCATACTCGAATTAGAACTCCTCAACCTAATCTGATTAGGTCTCGACTAATCCTAACTCCGATAGGACATTGAACCAAGCTCTTTCAACAAACCAGATTCATCCCCTAATTCTCAGCATCCTTAGCCTTACAACTCCCTGTTGCACTAGGTTTTGACTACCTCACCCTTATCTAAACCAATGTCACATCCCAACCCTCAGCTCCAGTGATATTGTCCGCTTTGGCATTCTCTGCCCGCAGACAGAGCTACCGCACGGTTTTGTTCCTGCGGACCGGTACTCAGCCGTAGCCAGCGCCTGCCCTCCCCTCAGGGAGTCCGCAAAAGGCCTCACTGAAACTTAAGGTTGGCAATGGATATATAAGGCCCAAAGACCACGCCCTCACGGGCGATGTGGGATACTACAATCCACCCCCCTTAGGGAGCCCGACGTCCTCGTCGGCACACCACAACCGTGAGTCTGGCTCTGATACCAAATTGTCACATCCCAACCCTCAGCTCCAGTGATATTGTCCGCTTTGGCATTCTCTGCCCGCAGACAGAGCTACCGCACGGTTTTGTTCCTGCGGACCGGTACTCAGCCGTAGCCAGCGCCTGCCCTCCCCTCAGGGAGTCCGCAAAAGGCCTCACTGAAACTTAAGGTTGGCAATGGATATATAAGGCCCAAAGACCACGCCCTCACGGGCGATGTGGGATACTACAACCAATCTTCCTCGCAGTAGGATTCGGCCGACCTTACTAGACAGCCCATAACAAGATTCTAGATGAATGCTACTGGGCCGAGAATAACTCTAAGCTCGGCCTAAAATAATATTTTGGGCCCAAACAATATTATACTAAA